AGAGCGTAAGTCCAAATTATCGATGCAGGACAAGCTTTTACTATATAAACAAATTTTTAAACATATGTCGCCTTACGGAATACAATGGAGGCTATGAAAAGCAAAGTGGTGAATATCTATCACCAGCACAGTGGACCAAGCAGCCTTCACTCGATCGGCGAATAGATTTTCCCAGATATTGCGTTTCAAAGGTTTTGACAAAGTAAAAAAAAACTAAAATTACTAGTTTTCATATTTTGAGCCTGTTATTGCTGAAAAATATTGAAAACAATATTACCTAATCCACAGGCAATAACACCATATATTTAGAAATTCTTGAATCTGAAAAGTTTATCCATTCATTATTTTCTATTTCAGTTGTAAATTTTAGAATTTTGTGGAATTTGGTAGAATAATTTTGAATAAAAATTCGCCTATCGGTCCCATCGAGACATAATGATATATCGTCAATATACCTGTACCAGAATATGCATTTTATTGAATAGTATAATAATTCCTCTATAATACTTTCTTCTATATTGCCCATATTTCTGCCAATAAGTCTGTTTATTATGAAGGTTACTGAAATGAAAATAATTGTGGTCGATGCAGTTGAATGGGTTTATAATTACGTCTTTAATGACAGGGTTGACACTATTTCTGAGTGTTATATTTGACTAGATACTTGTTTTTGAATAATTTTATCATTATGAATATTTTTCAAAACATTTCTGAAAAACCTGTATCGTCAAAATATATCTATAAAAATCTAGCCCTGTCCTATACAAAGGTGAACGTAATAAAAAATATTTTATTTTGTCTTGTAATGCCTAAGCGATATACGCATTTTCATGTTTAACTAACGACCTAAGCTTTCATCTCCAATCATGTAAAAAAATGGTTTCATGAAATTGATTGGTTATTCTAATTGGCAATGCAGAGACAACTACCGCCCATTCACAAGGCTTACATTGCATGATGTCACGTGAAATAAAAAGTAAGAAGTTAGGTTGGTGGCAACTCATCAGTTATCTTGAATGTATTTTAATGTATTTTATGAATTACTAAAAAGTAGTACGTTTATTAGGAGTGCAGGTTAAACTAAATCACATCTTTTCATTAATTGTGAGATAATACTATCATTATTATTATTGTTTCAATTGCCAAACATTAACGAGAAGATTATTTTTCACTTTCACAGTCTAATATTCGAATATTGCTAAAAATATGAGTTTTCTGTTGAAATTTGAAATATTAACATGCTAATAAAAACAAAATGAAAATATTATATATATATATATATATATATATATATATATATATATATATATATATATATATATATATATATATACTACAAGAAAAATAATTCTGTAGTTCTCGTGCTATATTATCGCACTTGTAGATATTCGCTTACAAAGTATACAAAACTTTTCTTTCGATAATTTTTTGACAAATTATTCAGAAGATTATAGCAGAGCTGGCTATGTGAAACATAAAAAATGCGATGTCTCCATTATCCATCTAGAGATAAAGGTTAGAGAATATTGAAATCTCCATTATCCTTCTAGGGGTGAATGCTGGAGAATATTGAAATCTCCATTATACTTCTAGGGATAAATGTTAGAGAATATTGAAATTGATACCTACATTTATTGAAAGCTTAAGACAGTCTCTGTTTCATACTACAAGATACTATCAGTTACGTTCAACAAATGAAAGGCAACGATTTCAATACCCACATACCCTCCTATTGATTGTGAGACAGAAATATAGAGTAAGTATTATGCATATATAATGCATAGATTAATGTATGTACATCTCAAATCTAAGGAATCAATGAAAAGCACATGAATACATTTGACATTGAAAGTTTCACACGTCCTTATCAATTAAGATACTACATTTCACAACTCTAGTTTTTTGGACAATTTTATTTAATTTGATGAAGTAATTCGCCATCTAGGTTGCGGTTACAGAAACGCTCCTTGTCATTTCTCAAAACATGAAGGAAATTCACTAAAATAAAAGGAATTCGGTAGTTCTCGTTCTATATTATCGTATTTGTAGATATTCGCTATCAAAGTGTAGGTACTAAAACTTTCTTTCGATAATTTTTTTCGAAATAATTCAAAAAAATGTTATAGTAGAGCTGACTATGTGAAACATGGAAAATGCGATGTCTCCATTGTCCTTCTAGGGATAAATGTTAGAGAATATTGAATTAGATGCCTACAATAGGCATGATGACACTAATCAAAAATCACAAAAATACTATATTCATCTGATAAAACTTGAAGCTTAGGATAAAAAACAAGCATTGTTTTTCTTATTAAGAGTGTGATTGATATATATTTTTATAAAATAAAACTACAAAATAATTTGAGTGGCTTTACTTCGAAACTTATTTGTCGTATATACTTGGATTGATTTATCCACCATCTTATTTGCATTTTCTTGTGAAGTATTGCTTATGGGTGCTTGTGAAGCTGAAAAAGACAAAAAAATAGTATTTATAAAATATTACCTTCAAATACACATTTAAAAAGAATTTACAAAGATTTACAAAGAAGTGGAATAAATTTGTATTACAAATAAGTACCTACATGAACTTCCACATGACACCTCTTCAAGTTCCACATGCTTTGTACCTATTTCCTCTAAATCTTTCAGACATTCTCCTATCAATGTCTTTCTTTGTTTTTTGAGAATATATGGTCTTTCTGTAGCATCTGATGTTCGTTTCCTTCTATCTGGTTGACATTGAAATTTAGTGGGCATACACCCCGGTTTCATGCGGATCTTTGACACGATCCTACACGATTTGACGATCCCATCAGATCATATTCCATATAATTATCCATATCATTTGGTAACTGAAATTTGAATAAAATACATAATATAACATCAATGAGATGAAATTTCGAGGTTAGACCTCGAAATAGATTGTTTATATTTTTACATTTAGACCACGTACAAAATATTATTACCAAATATTATATAGTATACTAGAATCTACAAAACAATGTGAAAACTTACATCAAAGTGATCTTCACAAAAATAGAGGACAGTGCTGGACAATATTGCATTTGAATCTCGCCTTGCAAGTTGAAGCCACTTGTTTCGTGTTGTTTTATTTTTAGGAACGAATACAAATAACTTATTAGGAGTTTTTATGGATGTGTTTGCACACTGGGGGACCCCACACCACTTATACACGTTCGAATTCATTTTTAATACCATAAAATAATTAAATTGTTGCACGAACCCAGAACCTAGTGTTTGAGTTACCGATTATTGACGTCACAAGCGCCGCCATGACACTGACAAGCGTTTTAGGTAAACAAATAAATTTCTATCTTAAAATTGCATTTTTTCCTAATTATTGAAACTGTAAGACAGTTACTGTTTCGTACTACAAGGGTACTCATCAGTTACGCCACGTCCAACGAATGAAAAGCAACGACTTCAATCCTCACATACTCTCCTATCGATTATAAGACAGAAATATACAGTAAGTCGTATGCAATGCATAGATTAATGTACATCTCAAATCTTAGGAATCAATGAAAAGCACATGAATACATCTAACTACATCTAATTACATCTCAGAAAAATAATTCTGTAGTTCTCGTGCTATATTATCGCACTTGTAGTTATGAAAAATCAAAATCTTAATTAATAAGGACGTGTGAAACTTTCGATGTTAGATGTATTCATGTGTTTTTCATTTATTCCTAAGCTTTGAGATGTACATTACAGATGTGCATACGACTTACTGAATACTTCTGTCGATGAAAATGTAGTAATACTACCAAAAGCAGTCGCAAAATAATGAATATAGTGAAAAAAGCAAAGTTTGTTTTTCCCTTTTATCGCATTAATTATGCCTCGGTAACACAATATTCAATTTCAGAAGAATTAATATAAAAAATGGATGGACTCTTATCTCTCGATGCTATCGTCCACTTTTACCGCCGATGGTATTATTGATTTTTTCCCATATCCATATCGCTGAATTAGATCTACGTTCCCTATTAGTCACCGTAAGTCAAGAAGCAGCAGAGCTGCAAAATGAATGCAACCGAACTCAAGACACGCAAACAGTGAAGGTTATCCTCGAGCCGTTTATAATTGGGTCTTTCACCTCAACCCTATCGCCAAGATTATCACAGTCTGGGAGGAAATTGAGTGGAGCCTCTTAGAACCGCAACCCAATTTCTCGAATTGACGCTTTGTTATATCGCATTAACTCGGAATTAAAAGGAAACTCGACATTGAATAGTAGTACTACAAAGGCAGAAAGATATAAAGACTTCTAATTTATTTATTTATCTGCTATCTACCGGTTGATAATGAATTATAACTTCAACGTTATTAGTAAATGTATGTTTTGAATATTGGAAGATGTATACCTAGGTAAGTGATAGAATATGACTTACGTAAAAATTGTTGTGGTTATCGTCGTTATACATATTTCATACTTATACACATTTAAATTACAATAGGACTTTCGATGCTAATCTTAACTTAATTAGATATTCACGTAATTTTCATACGTAATGTAATTGTTACATGTACCTGGTTATATGTACCTGGGCGTAGGGTCTGCTAAGTCCACTGCTATTCTTCTCATACATTAATAGTATTGTTTTTCATGTGCAAAAATGCTCTATACGATTATTAGCAGATGATACAATGATTTATTTTAGTCGTAAAAATATCCAGACTCTGACAGAATGGATCGATATAGACTTAGCAGCAATCAATGAATGGGTAAACGATAACTGTTTTTCTCTTAGTTATTCAGTTTACTGAATGTAAAAAATCTATATATATATATATATATATATATATATATATATATATATATATATATATATATATATATATATATATATATATATATTTAATTCGGTGGACCTATAGTTTAACGCTGGTTCCGAACAGCCATTGAGCTTGTTATCAATGTACACTACCCAGCATATATCATTATTTGAACTACTCCAATCATAGACCCATGCCTTCCCCGGGGCTTGAACCCGAGTTCTACCGAACCATAGTCGGGTGTTCTCCCGATAAGCCACGAGGACCGGCTGTCTAAATTTATAGTTTTGTGTACAAGTAAAATTCTGAAGAAAATTACTAACGAAAATATAAGTATTAAAATTGAAAACCAGAACATTGGAAGGGCAGAAGTTGATGAATATTTAGGCATTATGTTAGATGAGAAATTGACATTCAATCATCACATCGACTTCATATCGCCTAAAATGTCCGGAAAAATCAACTTTCTCAGAAGAATTGGAAAAAATCTGACGACATCAGTGAAGTTGTTGTTCTTCAAGCCAATAATAATGCCAAACTTGCCAGTCATCGTGGCTCACTCAGTAAAATACCCGACTATTGTGTGGTAGAATTCGGGATCGAGCCCCGGTGAACGCAATGGATATGTGTTTGTCTATTATTTGAGTAGCTTATTGATGATAACTGTTGGGTAAAAATGTACATTGATTACAATTGCATTGGCCGTTCGGAACCGGCGTTGACCTGTAGATCCATTGTATTATAATAATGTCAGCCACACTTGAATATTGTTCTGTTCTGTTATTCGAATTGACCAAAGACAAAAGTGAGCACCTACAAAAATTGAAGAATAGAACTTTGCCAACAATTTTGAGATGTAATATATTCCCATCGAAAACATGTCAAATTGCTGAACACTATTATCAGTTAAACAAAGAATACTTTATGCGACGTATATATTCGAATAAAATACAAATTTTTACCATATAGGCTATATAGTAATAAAAAATGTAACATGTGACAGTGATGTGCATGCTTATGATACAAGACCAGCAGCTTGTACATGCAAGTTTGTGAGCGTTTCAAATCTAGAAATAATATATTTTAGAACGATTCAATGTATTCAATGAATTGTCTAGCCCCATAAAAACAATTAGTGACCTTCAGGACTTCAAGCGTAAAATAGCTAGGTTCGTTTTAAACAAATATTGGCTAATAATAAATTTCGAACTTAAATATATATATATGAATTTCGTAATAACTATTGCTAAATAAACATTATCATCATATTGGCGTTAGTACATATGATTTTTACTCCGTTTAGCGGATGCAAAATAGTTTTTGCCAATTTCTTCGATATGCCTCATTGTATATGTGTGACTTTCAGTGAGAGGACTACCCTATGTACCTCAAACCCACAATGTGATGTAAACACAAGAAGTAAAAATATTGCATTAGCTTATAAAATAATATACGTTTTCAGTTCGCACTATGTCCGCTATATATTTACTTTCGTTCTGCTTGGACTCTATGCACTATTTGCATTCCTCCTATCAGCAACACTGTGCAGACGATGTCTCATAATGAATAACCAAAGATTTTACGTTCAAGATTCTCAGATGAAGTTTCATTCTGCGTATTCCACATTTTTTAAATGTTACTATAGATATAAATAAAAGTTATAAAAACGAAAAGTCGAAACATTGCCATATAAAATTATAAACTTCAATTACAAATAACATTTTTTTCAATGTTTCAGTGTCAACTGAGTTTCAATATATTTATTCGATTTGTGAGAGTTCTATGAAAAATTAAAAATTTTGTAACTACTTACTTCAAATAATGATTCATTTGTATCGAATCTTTAGTTCTTCAGGATCTTTGTACTTCTTAAAATATTGAGTAAAAATTTTCAACATCGAAGTATAGAATCAAATGGGAGATGAATTTTTCATTCAACTTAAAGCCCATTTAATGACGCTGGAGATACTAGGCAGTTGTTACTGGCTAGATGCTATTTTGTGAATGACCTTTTACGTGCCTCGGCAGTGGTGTTGTGTTCCTATTTTTGCGTTTGTTTGTCAACCTGCAATTGTAATGAACTGTATCGAATCTAAACTATTCTAAGCAAATACTTTTCGAATTATCGGATTATCTGCCGAATTTCAACATCTTTTGTGAAATTTCAAAACATAATTTGCCCCATATCTGCTATTGTTACAATTTCTCATTTCAATTTTGTATTTGGTCCTGAACGAGAGACAGTTAAAGCACTCATGTTAAAGAATATATTCAATCGAAATAATGAATCAAAATGAATATAAGTGTTGGTGATCATCGATATTATTTCCAAACAACCTATCTCATCCAATATCAACCTATATCAAGAAGTCTCACGCAAAAAACTGCGAAAAATATAAGTCGACAAACTAATGGGACTTGATATGTACTACCTTTCTTTCGGCGCTTAAATCATTACGTGTATACTTATTTGTGTCTCGAGTACTGGAAGGCCTGTCTCATCAAGAGCACATGAAAAGCATTCTTCATATTTAATAAAGCGTAAGACGTCTGAATCTGAGTGAACAGGTGACCATTACATCTAGAAATTGAATATTTCTAGAGTACACTCTCTCTAATTTGATTCCATCTCCCCGTTCGTGCATCTTGAACTTTGCTACGCCGTTCTGAGGAGAGCCAATAAACTCGAAACACTGTGAACGGCTGCTTCCAGTTGAGTTGCAGGCTATACCAAGAATTTTACTTTTGTTGTTTGTACTTTTTTCCGCAAGAAAAAATTTTTTCATTCTCTCTCTCTCTCTCTCTCTCTCTCCCTATATATATATATATATATATATATATATATATATATATATATATATATATATATATATATATATATATATATATATATCCAGAATTCAGGTAACGGGAATAATCGGTCTGGTGAAGTGTTACAAACTCATTTATTCACTACAATTCTCGCTATTTCGATATATAATCTTTTTTTTTTAATCGAAAATATCTTCATTCGAAAGATAATTTTGTGGCATTACATTTTAAATATGATTTCTGGCATATGACCGCCACGACTGGCTCGGATGTAGTCCAATCTGGACGTCCAATTTTCGATGACTTTTTCCAACATTTGTGGCCGTATATCGGCAATAACACGGCGAATATTGTCTTCCAAATGGTTAAGCATTTGTGGCTTATCCGCATAGTTCAATGACTTTACATGAAAGTAGTCTAGCGGTGTTAAATCATAAGATCCTGGAGGCTAATTCACAGGTCACCAAACGTGTCCTTTATAAATCGATTGTAGCACAAGATGTGTGACATGCTGCGCCGTCTTGTTGAAACCACAACTCCTGGACATCATGGTTGTTCAATTCGGGAATGAAAGAGTTAGTAATAATGACTGTAACGTTCTGGCCATCATCGTTTTTGAAGAAGTACGGACAAATGATTCCACCAGCCCATAAAGCGCACCCAACAGTCAGTTTTTGGGTCAGTATGTCAAAACTCAAGTTTTGACATACACTTGAGTATTTTCTTCACTCCAAATGCGGCAGTTTTGTTTTTGTTTGTTGACGTAGCCATTCAACCAAAAGTGCGCTTCCGGTAAAATGGACGTAGTGCGCGATACGTATTCCGCACAGATCTCGCCATTATTTTAAAAAAAAATTGCACTATTTGCAAGCGTTGTTCAGGCGTGAGTCTATTCATGATGAATTGCCAAAGCAAACTGAGAATAAATCACTTCTCAGCTGTTTAAGCGGTCGCCATCTTCAACAATAATGCCAACTTAATGTTCTATACATGTAGAAAAAACACCCTTTATAAATATTTTGAATAAAGACATATTACTCATACTAATGTTATGTTCAGAAGATTCTATTGCGATAATCAAAAGCATCAATTAAATTTAGTCGAAAGGTATCAATTCGTTCATTGGCATTTAAATGTTGGGCCTTACGAAGTTCGCCGGGTCTGCTAGTTGATCATATTTTTTTGGTGTAGTTATATCGGATAAAATTCCGCTTCCCGTTTTTACTCACTTGATTAAGATATTTCATGTGTGTTGTCGGTAGCCGGAATGACTCTGGCAGCAAGAAAACCGTGTCAGCGTTGCTCTCCGCTGAACGTGGCTGCGTGCGTGCCCGATAAAAATCTGTGGGCCCGAGGGCGTATACCGGAAGTGTTGAATAACAACGGCGGACCTGCACTGCTTCAATTACCACCCACATTTCCGGCGAGTAACTTGGTGGGTATTCTGCGATCGTCTCCTGAATGGCGCACAGGCCCGTATTAACATTTTTTTTGCTTTTCCACTATCGCAAAATTACTTAACTTATAGTTATAACGAAGTGTAATTAATATCTTGAAGGTCCTGTTATGTTCCTACTAATATATTATATATTTTTATTAAGCATTCAACATACAATACTACATGAGACGAAAAATTTCTTATAATGAGGAATTATTACTTGATGAGTATTACGATTTTTTTACAAAATTCAACCACTCAACTCAATTGTCGCCATTATTTGACGTTCTCACAAGGTTCTGTGGTAAACGAAAAACTTTTCAGTGATGCTGGTGGTATTTATGACCCGTTGAGAAATCGATGCAACACACGTAAAGGTAGTATTCGAATTCAAAGTAGCATAATGTATTCGAATTATACAATTTCAATAGACCTGCCCTCAACAGATCTCTCTTCTGCCTCTTCAACCGCCTCGGACTCCTGTTCTGAGTTGGACAATTCAAACTTGAGAAGTCCAACTTCGATTCCGATTTCTGTTGCAGAAGAACCCATTCCGTAAAATACTTAGTTAGAACTCTATATATGTAGTCATACCTACTAAAACGTCATCTATCTGGTAATATCTTACACAGATGTCAGAAAAATTTAGACACGTGTGGAATTCATTTCGTGTATTGTCTCTGGATGTTTTGTAGTTATTATTTTATACAAATAATGTACAAAATGATAATATACAAAACTTACTAATCATTTGACAATTGGAGAGAGATTTCAAGTTGATGTCACAATATCTGGATAGTTTTGGAACGTCATACACAGTTGCGTCGACTCATGGAAAATACTGAAGGGAACCGTAACTTAAAAGAAAAATAGTGGGTTTAAAGTTTTTGAAAGTATTTTAGAACATTAGAGTAAAATTAACATCAGATCCCCGAAATTTCGACTTTCCATAACTCGACAAGTCTGACATTATTTTTGGCTTTGAAACACTGAAGAAAACATGAAAATGATCATGTA